GGATAATAATGTATATTCTTTGGTCATTTCATGATCTAGAGCCCCATAATTGTTGTAATGGATTTTAAATGTCTATAAATGATTATTTTGAGTTATTCATCTTATCTTAGATGGTTACTTTTCTTAATCATATTACTTGCACTTCTATAGTGACAATGGAAATGAGATCATGGAATAGTTTTCATGGCATGTTAATAGAGAAACTTGATAGTCCATTGCTTAGGTATTTCCTTTGATATTTTATGCTTGATTCCTAATTTCATGTGCTTCATCATTTGATTAAAGGCTTGATGATCTTTTGCTTAAGAGAGTATACTTGATGCTACACCCTAGTTTACGTAGTTCAAATGTATAAACTTTTGATGAATCATTCTTGTTTTTGATTTAATGAACTTCTTGATGATTATACGGCAATCATGTGTTGCTATATAATTCTTGACCATTATATATTGCCTATCCCCAATTTAGTCTTTGTCTAGCATGTGTATAGGGTTGAAGGTGGATTCACTTCCCTAGTCCCTTCTTATTTATCTCTACCTCCTTACTTTAGTGTTTTATGCATTTTAATTCTTAATTTTAGTGACAAACCAACAAATCTCTATTCACACCCTTCAGCAAACTAAAGGGAATTTAAAAACCTTAGTTGCCATAAACTGGCAGTCCCAGTGGTTCGACTTACCCAACCAATAGCCCTATTTTATAATGATTTGTGCTATTGCAAAGGTTGATGTATAATTGTCATACCAATCAATGGGTCCCACTGGGCATGCCAAAAATGTTGACGCTAAAATCGGCTGGCTAGAGACGATCTTAAAATGATGTCCCACCGGGCGTGCCAAAAATATTGACCCTAAAATCGGCTCCTAAGATCCGATCTTAAATTGAGATGGAGTAGGCGTGCCAGAACCAATTGTGTGGTTCAAGTGTAAATTGTTAACTTGCAGTCTCTTTTGGAAAGTTGACTTTCAAGCGATTACAGGAGGAAGAGAACAAGTATACTCATTAATAAGTTCTAATTGCCTTAGTTAAAAGGACTTTATAGTGAATAATTTATAGTAATTAATGAGAGAATAGAAAGGGGAGAGAAATAGATATAGAAAGTGATAGGGAGAAGAGATAGAGGGCAGAGATATAGGGAGAGAAATAGAACGAGACTAAAATAGATAGAGAGAGATAGAGATAACAAGGATGCTATTTGGGGAAAGTGCTTGAGAAAGCAAACAAATAAATATAATGATTTTGAGGGTGCTGGACCCCTTCTCAGCATACCCTTTTGTTTATTTATAGAAAATGTTATAAACAAATTCCTACCAATAAGTATTCTAATTACAATAAAACTCTCACTAACTACTAAATTTAAACTTAAATTGAGATTCCTAGATAAAGATTAATTCCTAACTAAAATCTGGTAAACATATAAATCTTATCTAACATAAAGTGTCTCAAAATATTTCAAAAATATTCCTATCCGATCAATGAGCCTTTGCGTGCAGCTTTGCCCTATGTAGAACTTGCCACGTCACTGTTCCTTTACCTGTAATCCTTATTCATGTATAACACTAGTAAGCTTTATTTCAACTGAATTACTGATCCGAACCACCTTCAGCTCAATCATTACCCAATTCCAGTGCTTTAAGGCCATACTTCCAAACCCGAACTAATCACTACATCCTCAACCCAATTTTTGTGCAACCCGAGTGTCTAAACATCATTATTCATTAGGCCCATGATACTATGTTAATGTTTATCAAGCGCAATTAGAGCCCAGATCCAAATTATCAAAATGGGTGCCAACACATTCTTGTATTTGGTTGTTGAGAAATTTGAGGCAAAGAAAAGAAAAAAGTTTGAATTTTGTGTGTGTTTATTGGTTTCCAACATGTCAAAAGCTCACCTGAATTAAACTAACTAGTTATTGGAGATTTGTTTTTTGGGTTTTGAGCAGTGCGAAATCTGCTATTGGTTTCTCGTTTCCAACCAAAATTGAAAAAATCAAGGTCAGAGGAATGCACATCAGTTACCAGAGTGGGATTCTATAAATATTGCTTGGATTTGTCTATGGTCAAAAGAGTATGATTATGGTTCAGATTGTAATCAATATGACTATTAACACGATCAAGACACTATTTGGGTAAAGCTAATCAAAGCTTTGATCGAGTATAAATTGGTTTTGTAATTGGTGTTTTGGAGTTGTTTAATTTGTAGTTAAAATTTAGCATGAATTATTGTATATTATGTGAAAAATCAAGCTGCTTTAAGCAAGATGTGAGTGTTAGTATGCCTAGTTTTTGTATTCCACTTAAATTGCATTGATGTTAAAGTTCAGGTATGCTTTTAGCAACTGGACATGAATGACTGCAATCTGCAGTAGTTTTAAACAAGTTGAAACTTGTTATACCGTTAGGAACCGGTAGTGGCACCTAGGGTTGGGGTGTGCTGTACAATGTTATGAATCATATGATTAACTTAAGTATCATGTGCTTGAAATCATATACTTCTCTTTTACTTAAAAAAAAAAAAAAAAAATGGATTTCGTTGTGTGAGGAGAGGGAAATTGGAAGTTTGGCTGCAACAGGCTGTAGAATAGGGTTCATGATATATGCTACACATACCGGAAAGGCCATAAGGAAGGGTGTATAAGGTGCAGGAGGAGGAAAGAAAGGTGAGAGGAAGGATAGGGTGACCATCTGTAAAAGAAGGTTACATAGAAGAGAGTTTATTCACAGTTAGGAGAGAGGATAGACTTCAGAGCCATTGACTGGGTGAGAGCTTTTGCAAAGTATAATTTAGAGGAACCGGCAGCAGCCATGGAAAATGACAAACAGAGAAGAAAACCGAACCTGGGGAAAAAAAAACTGAATCCGGATCTGGGCAGGGGGGCCGGATCTGGGTAAACGGGTCGGATCTGGGCAACCGGGCCGAATCTGGGCAAACGGGTTTGGATCTGGACAAACGGGCCAAATCAAAACCAGTTTTCTGCTATTCCGGTTTTAGTAATCCAAGGTTGGAATAACTTCACGCCTGCAGCCAAACACCACTCTTCTCCTTCACAATCAGCGCTGGCAAGAACTAGATCTATGCCACCGACCATAAACTCCAATAACCCAAGGTTCGCAATGAAGAATCAAGGCTAGTACACACCCTAGCCCTTGCAGCGGTGACGACGGCAACCCAACACAATCGGCGATTTAACAACCAAGCAGAGAGGGTTCGCGATGATGTAACCTCTGCAACTTGCGACAGCCAAGGCAGCCTCAACCTAAAAAACGAAGGGCTTCAGATTTGAGAACGACAGACAAGAAGCTTTAAACCTTCGACAGCTTCAAACCTCCGATCGCCAAACCAGAACGACGGCCAAACCTGTCGCGAAGAACAGAATCAACTTCGATCTCGATTCTGATTTGTAGAAGAACACCACAGATGCAATCACAACCATAATCTTAGTTTTCCCATTGTTTCGTACCGCTCTGATACCATGTTGGGACTAGAGAGAGAGAGAGAGATAACACAGTGGATACATAATGTGTATTTCATATATATCAAACCCTAGTACAGTGGCTTATATAGAGTACAGGTCTCAGCTAATTACACAATGACCCTACCAACTATATGTAATTACATAATGACCCAAAATATTCTAACACACCTCAACAATCATTTACAATGTAAAGGAAGACAGAAAATGCTGCAAATAGTAATGGTATGGTCTTGCTATTTATTACTTGCCCTCATTGATCTTGCTTATTAACACATACATATCAAATACTTGATAGACACATTCTGGACAGTTAATTAACACATCCTACACTCTCAAATATGAGTTTAGAATATAAAAATGTAATGTAAATACACTCGGGCCGGTCCACCAGGCCTAGGATACTATTGGGCCGTTGGGCCACGTACAGACCAATCCACTAAGCTCACGGCGTTGTCTGGTCATTACGAGGCCCAAATTCACTAGCATTATGAACAGGCTTCTCGTCTAGTATGGCCCGGGGAGAAGACCCAGCAGAGAAGGGCCGAGCTTGAGAGCCGAGAGAGAGGTTTTAATGCAAATATAAACTTTTATAAATAGGAGAGAAGGAAAATGAGGTTGCATCTTCAATTATCATTTCAATTCTAAACATTTTATATTTGTAACCAAACAATAAAATGAGATTAATAACCATTCTTTTGCATTACATTCTCATTTTCATTTTCAATTCATTCTCACTTGCATTCCATTTTATTACTGCGTGGTGTATCAAATGCTACATGAAACCAAAAATACAAAATTGAGGAGGCATTTTACTCAACACAATACGCCAAATGTAATACTAAAAAAAAAAAACCGAAACGGAAGGCACGTTCTTGCAAAATGGAGACCCAAACGCGCTGGAGAGTTTTTTTGTAGGTTGAAGTGCCCTTGTGTAAGGGGTGGGCGTTTGCCCGTTTACGCAAAAGCTCAAACTGTTAGGTAAGGCTGCATACCCACCCATTTATACCCAATCTCTTTCCCATCCGATTCCGATGTGGGACAAAATGACCCTCGTTACACCTTGAGATGGTTGAATAAGATACCCATATTAAATCCGATCCACATTTGACCTGCATAATAAAATAGCAGACCGAAATCCACTGAATGCTGGGCGGGTTAACGGGTTTGAACTATTTTCGCCGGCAATGAATAATAAAATAACCGCCGGCAAAAATCTAAGTTGTTTTCCACTCCAACATCGGTACAGCAAGTTCTTCTTACAGGAGAGGATCCCAATGCAACGATGTAAGGAAGCCTGTGCCCTTTTAGGCGTTTGACTCAGTGCCTCATAGATTCCAGATGAATCAATAGGCCGTTTATGTATACATTATGTGTTTTGTGTGCGTATATATGTGGATACCAAAGTAGTATGAAATGAAACATTTGTTTTTGCTGATATATTTTTTATTTGGAGGTCTCTTTTCCTTCTCATTCTTCTTTATAATCATCATCATTTTTGCTAATTGAGATTCAGGTATCCAAGATGAGGGACGGTGGCAACATAACAAGACCATGGTTCTTCCTTTGTGTTCTGCTTCTGTTCCAGCTGTTACACACCTCCTGTTTCTCTATCGGAGGAGATACTCTTTCAATGGGCCAGTCTCTCTCAGTAAGCCAGACCCTTGTGTCTCAAGGTAGCATTTTTGAACTCGGTTTCTTTACGAAATTTACTACTACTTCACATAACATCTATCTTGGCATACGGTATAAAAATTTAACTGAGCAGATCATAGTCTGGGTAGCTAACAGAGAACACGCGATGTTGCCTCCATTGTCTTATTCAAAACTTGAATTCTCTAGAGATGGTAATTTAGTCCTGCTCACCAATGTTTCTGGGAATATAATTTGGTCAACAAATTTTGTGTCACCAACACCAAATTTTACTGAAGCAGTGCTTCTAGATAATGGAAATTTCGTAGTCAGAGATGTTATAAATCCATCTACAATCTATTGGCAGAGTTTTGATCACCCGACAGATACTTGGCTGCCCGGTGCAAAGCTTGGCATCGACAAACTCATTGGCAAAACTCAAGTCCTAACTTCGTGGAAAAATTCAAAAGATCCTGCTCCTGGTATGTTTTCATTTGGGATAGATCCGGTCGAAAGAAATCAATATGTTATAGAGTGGAACAACTCCAAAAGGTATTGGAGCACCGGAGTTTGGAATGGTCATAGTTTTGACTCTATTCCTGAATGGATACCTATTGATTTCTTCAATTACAGTTTTATATCAAATGAAGACGGAAGTTATCTTACATATTTTCCTTCTAATAGTTCTACGCTAGCAAGATTTGTATTGGATATATCTGGAACATTCTTGCAGTTAACATTGATGGCTGGCAGTATGAATTGGTATTTAAGATTGCAGGAACCCCGGCAACTATCTCAGGTTTATGCTCTTTGCGGGGCCTTTGGCATCTACAGTGACAATCTCTTGATCAACCCCTGTGAATGTTTGCAAGGTTTTGAGCCATTTTCGATGCGAGACATAAAGCTAGATGATTGGTCAGGTGGTTGTGTGAGAGAGACCCCATTGCAGTGCCAAAATGGTCATTACACCAATGGGTTAGCACAGAGATTTTCAAAAATTTCAGACATAACAACATTACCAGACAATTCGAAAGTGCTTCCTGATTTGAGCCTTGAACGGTGTGAATCAGCTTGCGTGCAAAAATGTTCTTGCACAGCTTATGCTTATAACAGTAGTGGGTGTTTAGTATGGGAGGGGCCTTTACTGAATCTACAACAACTCTCGAATGGAAGCGACACTAAACAAGATCTCTGTCTGAAACTAGCTGCTTCTGAGCTCCGAAAAGCTGGAGGTATGTAGCTGCAATAAATAAAATAACTTCTACTCAACAATCAATGTCTTCCGGTAAATTACATAGTATTTTGTTTTGAATTAATTGTGATTAACCATGATTCTACTATACCCCTTTCAGGTGACAAGAAGAACTTGTGGGAGATCATAATAGTGCCAGTTTCGCTAGCAATACTCAGTTCCGGTGGCTTCATATGTTGTTTAATAAGGAGAAAGCTCAACAAAATGGGTATAAGCGGTAACCACAAACCTTTATGTCCATATTTAACGAAATCATACATTATGTATTTAAATTTATTAGGAAATGAAAATACAACTTCTTCCGAGAGCAACAATAATTTAACAATATATATGGACCAAGTATGGACCACAAATTGTCACTTTTTGGGACTTATTATGTGTTAGAAAATAGTATTGTGATTTCCAAACAATTGACAATTGCCTGTTGTTTTGTCTTAAACAGGAGAGAAAGATTCAGGTGGAGGAAAGAAAGATAAAAATAAGGATTTATTATTATTTGATTTTAGTGTTAGTACAAATGCAACTGTTAAAACAAACAACGGAAATAATCTTGAGAGAAACGGAAAGAAGGATGTTGAGTTGCCATTCTTTAGCTTTGCGAGTGTCTCGGCTGCAACGGGAAACTTCTCGGCAACAAATAAGCTTGGCGAGGGAGGGTTTGGACCTGTTCACAAGGTAAAAGTTTAATATATGAACTGAAGAGCTTTACATTATAACTAATGACTTTTTTGGAACCCTCCAAATTTAATGTTGAAAACTATTCATTTAATAACTTGTACAACTCTATTTTCGACTTTAATCTTGTTCTTTAGTGAAATGATTTGGCTTCCCTGAAAACTTGCTGACAAGATGGCTTCATTCAAATGAGTCTTTTTTGTTTTTATGTTTTTTCTTTGACAGGGTAAATTACTCAGGGGACAAGAAATAGCAGTGAAAAGGCTTTCTGGAAGATCCAGACAAGGGTTCCTGGAGTTCAAAAATGAGGCAGTATTGATAGCCAAACTCCAACATCGGAATCTTGTTAGACTCTTGGGTTGTTGCATTGAGCAAGATGAAAACATATTGATCTATGAATATATGCACAATAAAAGTTTGGATTTCTTCTTGTTTGGTTAGTTTTCTCTTATATTTAATGTGTTCTTTTTAATGTAAAACTTAGATGATTGTTCAATGCATTTTAATTAATGTGAACTCATGACAGATCCAAATAGGCAAGGGATATTGGATTGGACGACACGTATTCGCATCATTGAAGGCATTGCTCAAGGACTGCTTTACCTACATCAATACTCAAGGCTTCGTATAATTCATAGAGATCTAAAGGCAAGTAACATTTTATTGGATAGTGAAATGAATCCAAAAATATCAGATTTTGGTATGGCAAGAATATTTTGTGGTAATGACTCACAAGCAAACACAAATCGGATTGTTGGAACTTAGTAAGTACAAGCAAAAACCTCGCTAACACACACAATTTATATATGACAAATTAAATAATTATCTTAGCACGAGTTACTAATTTTGGTTCTACTTGTATGTTAAATTTAGTGGGTATATGTCTCCTGAATATGCAATGGAAGGCCTTTTCTCAATAAAATCTGATGTGTTTAGCTTTGGAGTATTACTGCTTGAGATTGTGAGTGGCAAGAAGAACATTGGTTTTTATCATAGTTCCTCTTTTCACCTCCTTGGATATGTAAGCAACTAACATACCCTTCTTCTTTTCTGTTTTTTTTCCTTTTTTCTTTTTCTATGGTTTGTTTTCCTTGCAAAGTTGATAAATTCTAATTAAACTGTACATTATACTTTGGAATTATATAATGATATGTTTCAGACATGGGAGTTGTGGAATGCTGGTAGAGGGATGGAGTTGTTGGATCCAATATTGGGAAGTCCTTCTTCTACATCTACATTGTTGAAATACATTAACATAGGGCTTCTATGTGTCCAAGGAAATCCAAATGACAGGCCTACCATGTCTGATGTTGTCTCAATGCTCGGCAATGAATATGCATCTCTACCAATACCTAAGGAACCTACATTTTCTACATGCCGACTTGTCGTGAACACAAAAGCATCACTTAGCAATGCTCAATATTGTTCAGTAAATGTTGTAACACTTTCTGAGATGGAGGCTAGATAATAATGTAATATTCCATTACGTTTTGTTTTAGACTAAAATTCTAATTTGGTACTCTTAAATTTACCATACTTTATTGCTTTTTGATTTTATTTTATTTTATATTTTTTTCGGGTAATATATTGATTGGTTTAACTAACTATAGTAGCCTAGAAGAATCTCCAATATTTGTTTACCTTAGGAGTGAAGGGGCAAAAAATCCCACTAGGCCGGATGTGGCCCAGCCCACCCACTAGGGAGGATAATCCATCGACCGCCAGGCCAGCCATATTCGTATCGGACCTAACCCCAAAAGGAGATAGCCCAAGGGGAGGACCAAGCCCATTTTTTATTCCCAATTTGGAATCCAAGAAAGGGAATTAGGGTAACAAGTAGTGTAATAGAAATAAAGAAAGGGACGAAGGAAATGGCAGAGTGTATGGTGTAAAAGAAAACTTTTCATCAATAGAAAGAAATTTTTTTTTGTATTTACATCTGGTGCCATCTGTGGGAAATGACGAGTGAGTCTCTAATAGTTTTCTGATCTGATTAATGACACAGCTGCATTCTAGGATAATGATTGGAGGAGAGAGCATGCAACATCAGCAGGCTAACAGGAATGATTGACAGGAAGAAATCTAACAACTGGTCCAAACCTTGTACAAGGAAAACACGGAGGTTGTGGAGATCCTGCGTAGAGAGAACGTCGAGCTTTGATTACGATTGGAGTGCAGGACGGAGGCTCCTCCACTACCACCACTTACAAATCAGGCGGCGACGAATGAGGCGAATCTGCAGAACGATCAAGTTGGGTCTGTGTGCCTTGACCCCCGTCGAAAGGAGGTTGGTAGTGAGCGGAAGAACCAAATGATCGAGCAAGAAGGCAACAACAAGATAACAACTCAGAGGTCCGACGCACCCCAAGCATTCGAAGAAATGTCCAAGGCAAACATCAGAACGTTAGTTTAACGGGAGGTGGGAGAATGACTTAAGGACCTAAAGGCACCGACATCGGCTGACATGGCTGCAAAGGCCTTCACCGACATCGTCGATACACCTTTTACTGAAAAGATATTGAAAAGTCCCAAATCGAATAAGTTCGTCATCCTACCATCACGTCATTCAACGGATCAACATATCCAATGGATCACGTTTACCATGTTCAGCTGAAGATGGCCCTGTATAACGATTATAATGCCTTAATGTACCGAGTGTTCCCAACGAGCCTTGCTAGACCAGTTTTCAAGTTGTTCAAACACCTGCCGAAGGGGACAATTGGAAGTTTTTGCTAGTTGTGTGAAGTATTCATAGCCCAATACTTCAGCAATCAACAGATTCAGAAGAGCGTATCGAGCTTAATCACTATGAAGCAATAGAAGGGAGAAAGATTGTAGGCATTCCTCACTAGATTTAATCTCGAGCTAAGCATGGTCAAAGAATGTAATCAAAGAGCAGTGGATGAAGCTTTCAAGCTGGCCCTCATTCTGGGGACTATCTTCTACGGTGCATTGGTCCACAAGACCCCAAGGAATATGGGAGAACTAGGCTTGAAAGCATAAGGCTGCATACAAATGGAAGAAGAGGAGGCCTTGCGAATGCATAGGACTACCATGGTCGCCGTTGAGAACCGTTCACATGACAAAATGAAGGGGCAGAAAATGCTGAACCAAATGTCACAAGCCCCTTGGAGGCCACCGAAGCACTAGAGGGAGGAAGAAGTCGTTATACCCCTCAGGACCTCCTTGGCGAAACTACACCAAGAAAATAAATCCAAGTTCTCGTCATCGTAGCCGATCAGACAACTGATCAAGCAGGGAAGCCAGTCCAAGCATTGTGCCTTTCACTATGATTTGGGACACCAAACCAATGAATGCAGGAATCTCAGAAGACAGGTGGAAATAATGATAGCCAAAGGACAGTTATCAAGCTATGTATTACCTAAGCGACAACATAATCCCACCCATATGATCAGGCCCAGCCTACAGGGAAGAGTGAATGACAAGACGAGCCCTCAGAAGCTCAACTTGTAAGAATTATCAACGTCATCCATGAGTGTCCCGAAGAGAATAAGGAGATTGAGGAACTACTCAGATAACGCTTGAGATAGGTAAGAAGAGTGAATAATTTTAGAACTACAAAAGGGGTAGAGTTTGTAACAACCCAAACTGGGGGTCCGGATCACTAACCGGGTCCTTATCCAAACCCGAGGAAATACTAGTTGTAAAATGGTCATTTTACAATATCAGTGGGTAATTCATCCTTAAACTAATCAAATAAGATTTAAAATATTCATTCTTAATCATTTCATGACACTCAATAAAGTTCTATGGCCATCGGTTATGAATTCCCAAAGGTACCCTTACCCGGTTCAAGAAAATTTCTGACACTATCCCACTAAAATGACCATAACTCTTTGCATGAGTGGAATTTGAGAATGAGGTTAGTCTTATTGAAAAGCTAACTTAAAATCCTTGAAAATGGACTCAAGAATGACCATATTTGGGTTCCGAATGAAGAAGTTATGACCATCCGAAGTTAAGCGTTCCAAGCTGTCAACTAAATAAGGCAAAGTGGAACACTAGGGGACTTGAACCAGTTCAAGGACCTTGAACCGGTTCAAGATGGGTGGTATACCCATTCTCGAACCAAAGACCCCCTCTTGAACCGGTTCAAAGGGGCTGAACCGGTTCAAGGTGCCCAGAACCTCCAAAATGCCCCAAACAGCCTAAAATTGTGATCTTTTGCACTTTGGCTCAACCTTGGTCCCTTGGTGACCTAATTCAAAGCCCAAACTTGTCCCAAATCTTCATTCAATGATGAAACTAACATTACCAAGTGGTTATTAAATCGAACAAGACCATACACGAGTCCGATATACCATTAAAATTAAGTAAAACCGTTATACATTAAAAATGTGGCCTTACAACCTTACATGGGTCTTGAAATCATAATGAGACCACCAAATACAAAAGAATGTTCTCAAGACCATTTCCAACCATGTGGTTGATACAAATTGTCCCCTAATAATATTTACAATAAAAATGGTTAATATGCACTTCGAACCCAAAGGCGTCCAAGTCCGTTAACTTTACTAAGCTGGTTGTGTACTGTTGTTCGCTACTTCTTTACCGTGTACTGAAAAATGTTAATAATAAAGGGGTGAGCATAAAGCTCAGTAGAAAGTGCCTAAGACACACCTCTTGTGACTCCGTGAATCCACATATAGAATAGAAAACAAGTGAAGATCATACAACTCTGGGGATGTAAACTATAACCACAACATTCATTATAAACACCATTGTCATCCAAGTCACAATTACACCATGTATGCCAATGAAGTGCAATGCCATGCTCATGTCACTCCCCATTTCCAAACAAAACCATTCCATTGTATCAAATCGTTAATGCAACCAAACCCATAGCACCTCTATGGTGTCACAAGGAAAGGGTTGGCTAACAATCCCCGACCACATGGCACCTCCATGGCGTCGTATGGCATAGGTAGCTTAACCTCTCTCTAGGTTACATTAATACCACGGACCACTAGGCGCCTCCTAGGCGTCCGATTTTCACAGCACTTTTCAAAACATCTTTAACACCACGGACCACTAGGCACCTCCTAGGCGTCCGGTTTTCGCAACACTTTTCAAAACATCTTTCCCAAAGAAAACAATTTCCCATTTTTACTCTTCAAAACATTTTTCCCTTTTCTTTCCCAATGGAATGCATGAATGCATCATGCCGAACACAATCATGCCAATGTATATAATTTTCATCCTATAGAAATCAACAACCCCATATAACAAACCTTGGGGAAAATCTCAAAATAAATAACATGCTTCCATATTACAAAATCTAGCATTTTCCACACCATAGGTAAATAATATCATCAATTAGGCATGCTCTTCCATATAATTTTAACTAACACATAATCACATGATTTACAAAATTTCTATAGCATAGTTCACATTTTCAAGTCATGAATTTTAGCAACAAAGGTACAAGGAGCACAATTAATCACCAATTAAGCATGGTTCATCATCATATATACCAAACAACACATAGTCACAACTTTTGTACAACATATACACAATATAGCATGAAATTTCTACAAGATTAAACATGTTAACCACAATTAAGGTAATTAATTCACAAAAGCTCAAAAAAATATAAATTAGAAAACCCCTACCTTAAATTAAGCAAAAACCCCCCAATTTCTTCTCAAACCCTAGTATTTAGAGATCCCCCAAATGGTGGCCAAATGAAGATTGGCTCCGATCAACTTGTAGGTCTCGTCGTGAGCTTCAATTTGCTGCAAACGGCACTTAAAAACACCAAGTATTGAAAGAGAGATCAAACTTCAAAGTCTTGAAGCAAAAAGAAAAGAAAAAAGGAATTTGAGAAGAAAGAGAAAGCTAGCAGGGAAAGAGAGGAAAATGAGACCAAAATTGTGATCTCATGGCCTTTTGAGTGGTAATTGTGGGTCCCACTTATTTTCTTTTTTTTTCCTTTTATTTTTCTTCTCATTTTGCACCACACACAAATATATATGCACACATATACACATATTAACTTGCATCCACATAAAACACAATAAAATAAATATGATGCAAATAGACCCGACTAAAATCCCCGTATGCAAAAATCCCGGTAGCGGGTTCCACACGGGACTGTTCGGCTCGAAAAATGAAAAAATGCCGAAATGGCAACCCTTGCATTTCAAAGAGTCCTGAACTCAATGAAATGCCCCAATCAACTCTTGGACACAATCGACACACCTCACAGTGTCCGACACGTAAAACAAGAAAAGACGAAAATGCCCTCGCAAAAATTGAAAATTCCAGAAATCGAAAAATGGTAAAAATTGAAAACATCACAGAGGCTGACATCCAAATTAGGTTCGGAAGGTCAGACCTCCAAAGGGTGCAAACTCCGCATGAAAATCCCCTCGTGATTAGTCTAATGGTGGCAAGTTGTTTGGTAAAGCAGGTCCTTATTGACCCAGGAAGCAGTGCGAACATAAA